AGTTAGTTTAAGGTTTGATTTGTTTGTCAGTTCTATACCTGTTCTGAACTATGAACATGTAATCAAATATGTTTATGCTTAATTCATATGTCCTGTCTGTTTAATTCAAGTGTTTTTGTCTCTGTGTTTAAGCCATGATTGTTTAATACTAGCATGAGTATCTAGCTTAATTAGATGTCACCATGTTTAAACTGTATGCTGAACCTAAACCTTGTTTGTTTCTTGGAGCAGTTCTGCCTGCAACTCTGTACTCTGAACTTTCTCTCTTCTAAAAATTGAACTATTTCAAAACCTGCCCCCTTTACCCTTTGTGCACTGATTTTCCAAACTCCTACTCTTAGTCATTTAGGTTCTTACCACTCCCAGTGTGAGCACTGCCTAGGGTCCTTGAGACTCCTTTGAACTCTGACACATTGGGGCTGGTTTCCCAAGCTTTTATGAACTCTGTGCTGAATGTGTGGTTCTAGTGTGAGCATTGCCCGAGGTCCCTGAGGCTCTTTGGGAACTTTGACACACTGGAAGCCTGGTTTAATGTGCTGTGAATGGATCACTGCTATGCTTCAGAGCTATTGTGTTTGAAGGCCTGGTTCCCAGGTTTAGATTGGGCCTATGAAGGCTCCCTATAGTGTAATCGTTACTATTATGTAATTCATTCATTTTGGGCTGTAATAATCTCTGTAATAACATATTTGGGATTAATTAGTAAAAGCTGGGGGGTCTATTCTTATATCTTTTGTTGAAATTGGGTAGAAATCCTGCCGATAGGACTTAACTATGCTGATTGAATTATGTGGATACTGCACTGTGTTTATAGATCCTGCCTATAGGATTTTTCATGATCATTTGCATGCTAGAAACCCTGTTTATCGGATCCCACGATTTGATTCTGCCTTAGAAATCCTGTTCATAGGATCCACACATATTTTCAACTCAATGTGCATTAGTGACCATGCCTATATGACTTTGTCTGTTTGAGTCAATTATACTTCATGGCAATTTGTTAATTTCTGTCTAAATACGATTAATAGATATCATGCCTATAGGAATAAAAATCGGTTTCACCTAGAAATCATGCTTATAGGATTTAAAACTAATAGATATCATGCCTATAGGGTGAAATCAGTTCTGAAACTTAGAAATCTTGTCTGTAGTAGTTTAAATCAAGTCAGTAATTAGAAATCATGCCTATAGGGGTTTAAATCAATTCAGCAATTAGAAAGCATGCGTATAGGATTTCAAAGAATAAAACTGTCTTTATGAGTTAAAATCAGTGCTACACTTAGAAATCATGCCTATAGGTCTGTCATTGACAAACTCGTAGAAATCATGCCTATAGGATCCGATTAGTCTATTCTGGATTCAAGCGCTCTTGTAAATCACTTAGGCAACGTATCCACAAGACTCACTAATGATTCTCGATTTAAAACTATTACATACTACTGCCTGAAAGCCCAGATCCATGCCGAATAAAATCAGTAGGCAAACAAATAGTTTTTAATGCTCGCCTTAATAAAACTGCCTTTATACCCTGTTTTCTCGCATAGATGTCCTGCCTATAGGATTTCCAAATTAACAAGTTTGCTGGTTCAACTGCGTGCTTTGTTGCTTATGTGTGGAGGTTAATATGAGCCTATACTTGCTCTTTATCTGAAAGTCCTATTTATTTTTTGTGTATCGCCTATATTTCACATTTTTAAGTAACATATATTGGTCTAGAACCATCCCAAATAGAGGTCCTAATACCTCCAGGACCATAGGTAAGGGACGAGTAGTTCACGCGTAGGGTACAGTTTAGAATCAATTAGTGCGCTTAAGTAATAACTTAAAGATAGTAATTGGGTAGTAAAGGAGATGATAGCCTGTGCGCTAATGCTATGAGTAAAACCCTGACTTGAGGGAGTTGCAAAGCATTGCATGGAATGATCCTATAGGCTAAGAAACTTAGGACCACCCCCTATACTCCTGTTTTAAATAAACTGAATGTTGTATTTGTCCAAATTATTTTCTTCCCCTTTAACACTAATTCGCTTAATTTAAGTTCGGCTGGGACCCACGGTTGTGGACCTCGAGGGGTGCCTAACACCTTCGCCTCAAGGTAATTTCGAGCCCTTACCCGATCTCTGGTGATGTAAACTGGTTATTTGAGTTAATTGCTCTAGGTGCCCTAACGCATCTTAAATCCGTTAGGTGGCGACTATTTCAAATCCAATTCCCTACCCTCACGGAAAGGAGTTGTCTCAGAAATGTCGAAACCTGATTTTGCGAGAAAAAGGGGGCGCGACAGACACCAATCAATCATGTCGGATCAATAGCTTCGTATCACTGGCATCGTATCCATCAGTCAAACTGAAGCGTCATGCTATTGAAGCATCGTGCTACTGGTACCATATCCACAGAAACTTCGTGTTGTTGGCATCGAGAATTTCCACAATAGTTTTCTTTTGTAGGCTTTTGCGAGAGTACTGGCGGTCTTTGATATCCCTAAGGAGATGCAATATTGCTAGCGAACAACTCGTCTATTTGTTGCGGCTTGGCGAGAGAGACATATGGAGTAGGCCTTTCCAACATCGGCGAACAAGCACTTGGCGCGTCTCTGATGCTTTGACTTCATAGAATTTCATGCTCGAATTGAAGAAATCATATCTCGATCTAGGCGTGTCTAATCTGCAATCCACTTGGTTCTGCAGAATCAAAACTTGCACCACAGCGACATATCCAAAATTTAGGGCCAAATTCCATCAGGACAAGTCGGAATGAACTTTCAAAGGCGATGCACAAGTCTGTCATTTTGGCTCACAACACTGCTTGATGTCATTGGAACGCACATATCTCAAGCTAGGAATGTCCAAATCGCTAGCCGTCTGTCTGTTGAACATGCTATTCAGCTTTGTGCGCTTTTATGGAAAAATTTGTATCTTGATCTACGGGTGTCGGAAACATGATCCATCTATGCCTATGGAAAGAAAACTACGAGTCCTGCAACACCTGAAATTATTTGATGAACTCTCCTCGGATTGGTCGCAACGATATTTTGAATTTCTCCGTGACATCTGTCATACTTGCTTCTCAGGTTCGCATGCTCTCGTCAAAGAATCCACATATCAAGTTAGGAATGTCCAAATCGCAAGACGTCTACACCATAAGAAAGACAAGTTCGAGACATGCAACATCTGAAAATATCGTGGCAGAACACCATTTAGATTGGCCGCAATATCATTTCGTGCACTCTCGTCGAGAAATTCATATCTCGAGCTTCGGGTGTCAGATTTGCGAGCCATTTATGTCATTAGAAAGAAAACACAGAGTGCAGGAACACCTGAAAGTATCATTGCATAATTCCTTTTGGACTGGACGCAATAACTTCTTGAATTCATCTAGGTGTCTGCCATGCGTTTGTTTCTGCTTTGCGCACTCCTGTCAAAAAATTCATATCTCGAGTTAGGAGACTCCAAATTGGGATCCGTTTGTGCCATTAGAAAGTATACTCATAGATCTGCAATACGCATGAGTTTCATGGCAGAACTTCTTTTGAGCTGGAAACAGAAAATTTCAAATCCACCTAGCTGCAGTAACTTTCAGATTCGTGTAGTTCTGACAACAAAAATTGTATCTTGAGCTAAAAGCCTCCGAATTGCAAACGGATTATGTTGTTGGAGACTAGACATCCAAATCTACAACATATAAAATGTTTGGGGTAGAACGTCTTCCGGATGGACCACAGCAGTTTTCCAAAGTTGATCTCGTAATCCGTTGAGCTCGCTTCCAATCTTTATGCTCTCTGAGTTGTCCTATAAATGTTGTTGTTTTCTTGAAATTGACTGTACAGTCTTGAATATAGGAACTTTAGCTATTGTGCTTCACAAATCTTATCTCTTTATTTATTTCTTTTGCAGACTCACAAAGAAGTTCAACGAGTCCAGATATCAGTCTGAGATGTCATACAAGATGCGGAGTCACCCCTTCACCAACTGTTGCACTTGATTTGTTGACGGTCTTGAAGTTTATCAATGGTGCCTCCCGTGGTGATTGAAGGTTTTTCAAGAGAGATAACTTCTTATATACGAGACATAGGCTTTTGTATAGGAAAACGTCTAATTTCTTTTGTCTCTACATTTTTTGATGTATTAACTTTTGTACTATTGAAGCAATAAAACATCTTTTATACTTCAAAGCAAATCGTCTCTTTTTCTCATAGATATGTGCCTCTTTAATTGGACAAATTAATGTAACGATCCGATGACGCCAAACTTTTATTTGTTTAAAACTCATGCGACTGAACTTAGAATAAAACTCTAAGCTGCCTACGTACCTCGGTGAAGAGGATCAAGTCATAACGTAGTTCAGAGGGGTGAGTTTTTTTTTATGTCCTAATTTTTGCCTAGGCCGCCTCTCGCGAGGTTTTCAACCTAGCTGACTTTCTTTTTGTTTTTTTGCCTAGGTAGCCTCTTTCGAGGTTTTCATGACATAGGCTTTTGTATAGGAAAACGTCTAATTCCTTTTGTCTCTACATTTTTTGATGTATCAACTTTTGTACTATTGAAGCAATAAAACATCTTTTATACTTCAAAGCAAATCGTCTCTTTTCCTCATAGAGATGTGCCTCTACAATTGGACAGATTAATGTAATGATCCGATGACGCCAAACTTTTATTTGTTTAAAACTCATGCGACTGAACTTAGAATAAAACTCTAAGCTGCCTACGTACCTCAGTGAAGAGGATCAAGTCATAACGTAGTTCAGAGGGATGATTTTTTTTTATGTCCTAATTTTTGCCTAGGCCGCCTCTCGCGAGGTTTTCAACCTAGCTGACTTTCTTTTTGTTTTTTTTGCCTAGGCAGCCTCTTTCGAGGTTTTCAACCTAGCAGACTATTTTTTTCTGGGCCGTACACAGTTTAGACTCATGCGGGCCAGGAGTGTAGCAACGTGCAGTTTAGGCTCATGCATCAAGGAGCTCATGACTTGCAGTTTAGGCTCGTACATCGAGGAGCGTAGGTGAATTTCATGGGAAGTACTGCTTCAGAAATTTTCCGTTGATCGGACCAACTCTGAGACCATCCTTATCGACAATTTTGTATGCGCCGCTTGAATAGGCTTCTTTCACAACATATGGCCCATCCCATTTTGAGGTAAACTTGTCGCCTATGCGTTTGTTGAGGATTATGGGTCGTCGAACGGCTAGGACTAAGTCTCCCACTTGGAATGATCTTGGCCGCACTTTCTTGTTGAAGGCTCTAGCTAGTGGAGCTTGATAGCACTCCAATTTTTGTTGCGCTTCTAATCTTTTCTCATCCAAGGCCTCTAACTCCGCTAGGCAAAGTTGAGCATTCTCTTCGGATGTGAGCCCTTCTTGGATTGTGATCCGCAATGATGGAATTTGTTGCTCCAGCGAAAGAACTGCTTCTACGCCATACACCAAAGAGTAAGGAATTGCTTGTGTAGCAGTTCTGAAGGTTGTCCGGTATGCTCACAAAGCTTCACTAATTTTCTCATGCCAGTCTCTCTTGTTCTTTGCAACAACTTTCTTCAAAAGGTTACCAAGCGTCTTGTTAAAAGCTTCAGCAAGGTTGTTGGCGGGTGCATTATACATTGAAGACTTATGTTGCTTGAAGCCGAACTTCTCGCACAGAGTCTTCACGAGCTTGTTGTCAAATGGCGTTCCATTATCGATGATTACGTATCTTGGTATTCCGTACCTAATAATTATATATGACTTGATAAAATCGACAACAGTCTCCTTTTTCATCTCCTTGAGTGGAGCAGCTTCGGCCCATCTAGAGAAGTAGTCTGTAGCGGCCAATATGTAAATATGTCTCTTTGATGACTTTGGAAGTGGTCCAACAACGTCAAGTCCCCATGCATCAAAAGGCCATGAAGCTACAGTTGGATGAAGAGGCTCTGGAGGTTGGTGGATGTAGTTGGCATGAAATTGACACGCTTGGCATCTTTTGGCATGATCCATGCAATCCTTCACCATTGTCGCCCAGTAGTAGCCCATCCTCTTGATGCGAAAGCGGAGCTTGGGACCAGATTGGTATGCTCTACATGAGCCAGAATGTGCTTCCTCCATCGCTTGGCGGGCTTCTTCTTTGTCAAAACATCGCAAGAATAGTCCTTCAAAAGAGCGGCGAAACAATGTCCCCTTATAGAAGATGAATCGTGGTGCTCTTCGTTTGATGTCTGTTCTTTGTCGCGGATCTTCAGGTAACTTTCCATGTTCAAGGTACTCTATCAGTGGTTGCCTCCAATCTTCTTCTTCAATCACTCGAACAGACGTATGATGGCTTTCGTTGATTTGAAGATCCAGAAGTATAGGAATAACCCATCGATGACACACATATACCTTTGTTGACTCATTCTCTCCAAGTGCCATCGTCGTGGCCAAGTTAACCAAAGCATCAGCCTTGCGATTTTTTTCTCTTGGGACGTGGTTTAAGAACACTTGGTCAAATTTTTCAAGTAAACCAGAAGCGTATTGATGGTATGTCAATAGATCTTCCTTCTTTACCTCGTAACTCCTCAAAAGTTGGTTGATGATCAGCTTAGAGTCTCCGTAGATCTCCAACTGTAGAATCTTCATTTCTAATGCTATTTCGAGACCGACGATCAAAGCTTGGTACTCTGCGGCATTGTTGGAGCATGTTTCACCTAAAACAAAAGAGAATGGCAAGACTTGTCTTTCTGGAGAGATCAACGCAACACCTGCCCCCGCACTGTTACAATGTGCAGATCCATCAAAGAACATTGTCCATGGTGGAAACTCTTCGATGAACAAAACGTCTTCATCTGGAAACTCATTCGAAAGCTCCCATTCTGCCGGAAGAGGGTGGTCAGCCAGAAAATTGTCTAGTGCGTGTCCTTTCACAGCTTTTTGAGGTGTGTATGTGATCTCATATTGGTTAAACAATATGGACCATCTTGTTAGTCGTTCAGAAAGAACAGGTCGAGTCATCACGAACTTTATGAGATCTGCTCGAGAGATGAGTTTGATGGTGTATGCTTCAAAATAATGCCTTATCTTCTTTATCGCATAAAGTAACGCTAAGCATATTTTCTCAATAGGCGTATAGTTCATCTCAGCTCCTATCAGAGTTCGGCTAAGGTAGTAGAAGGCTTGTTCCTTTCCTTCCTCATTTTCTTGAGCAAGTAGTGCTCCAAGTGAACGTTCCTGTGCCGCGATGTAGAGTATCAATGGCTTCCCAAGCATTGGCGCCCCTAACACAGGTGGATTCAGCAAGTATTTTTTGATGCTTTAAAAAGCATTTTGACATGACTGATCCCAATGAAAAGGGATATCCTTCCTCAATAGATGATTGAAGGGTTGACACCGTCCGGCTAGATTAGAGATGAACCTCCGGATGAATGCTAAGTTTCCTTGGAGACTTCGAAGCTCTCTCAAGTTCTTTGGCTTGGGCATTTTCTGAATGGCGTCAATTTTTGCAGGATCAACTTCAATTCCACGATGACGCACAATGAAGCCAAGAAACTTTCCTGAGGTAACTCCAAATGCACATTTGAGTGGATTCATCTTCAGGTCGAATTTCCTTAACCTTTCAAAAACAATTCGAAGGTCTTCAAGGTGGTAACGCCTACTCTTCGTCTTTACGACCAAGTCATCAACGTAGCATTCAACCCTCTTATGAAGCATGTCGTCAATGATATTTTACATCGCGCGTTGGTAGGTGACACCGGCATTCTTCAGACTGAAGGGCATCACTTTGTAGCAATATATCCCTTTTGGAGTTCAGAAAGCAGTACACTCTTCATCTTTTGGAGACATTCTGATTTGATTGTATCCGGAGGACGCATCCATGAATGACATAGCTTCATGCCCTGTTGTAGCATCAACCATGAGTTCAATAATTGGTAGCGGGAAGTCATCTTTTGGACATGCCTTGTTTAGGTCTCGAAAGTCAACACAAACACGTATTTGACCATTCTTCTTCTTGACAGGTACAATATTCGATATCCATGATGGGTACTTCACCTCTCGAATAAATCATGCCTCGATGAGCTTGTTGACTTCGACTTCAATTTGTGATACAAGCTCGGGTCGAAACATGCGTTGTGACTGCTTCATAGGGCGTGCTCCACTTTTGATCCCTAAATAATGAACATCTACCTTAGGACTAAGACCAGGCATTTCTTTATATGACCAAGCGAAGACATCTTTGTACTCGGTCAACAACTTGGAGTATTCCTCCTCCTCTTGAGGCGTAAGAAATGCACTAATGAGTGTGAGGCGTGGATCTTTTGGAGTACCTAAATTGAGTTCCTTAAGCTCATCCACAGTTGATTGGCCGCCATCTTCTAGTTGAGGGGGAGCCTCATGTACTTCATCATCAACGTTAAGGCATGGGCTATCTTCCACATTTATGTGATAGGATGTTTCCACAAAGTCTGACTTTTCTCTTTGACTTCCTTGGATGGTCGGCATGGCTTCTTTCTCTTTCTTTGCTTCTTTACGAGGCTGGCAAGTGTAAACAATGGTTCTCCTTTGCACCTTCAGTGGACCATCTGTGGATATTGACAAAATAGACTTCCTCTTCATACGTGATGGGAAAGCACTATAGATTTCTTTGTTAGCAACAACTTCAAAATGATCCCGCTCCTCATGGTCTTGCTCCTTATGTTTTGACAGTATCTTTCTAGATGGCGACTTCCTTGTGGTCCCTAGGAGACAAAAGACAGAGGTCTTTGAGGTAGTGGAAACTTCTTTTAGATGTTTGGAAGATACACGTTCACCTTTGTGACTTAGCCTTTCAAACACCGAGACCGGAGGGGTTGAGCCTCCAATGCGATCAAATACTGAAGCCTGTTGTTTTATTTTCTTTCCCTTAACTTCCCTCATCTCCTTTACCGAGGTGTATTGTGATGAAGCTATCTCTTTGCTTCTCTTTGATGAAATTCAAAGAGGCTCTGCCAAACTGAACCCAACCCAAACTTTGGAGTGGCGACGTAGTGCCCTAGCTTTCTCAACTTCATTTGGGACTCATTGAGCCCATGTATCTTTTCACCAGTGAATTTGTCTTTGAGTTCTCCTAGTAGCAGTATGAAGGCCTTAGGATCATAGTGCCCTTTTATTTTATCAGCTAGGAGATTGCCTTTAGCAGACTCACAAGTCACGGATGGGATTTGTGCAACTGGGACAGTCATATGCTCATTCAAATGTTGGATATCTTTGTGACTCATTTGCTTCTTTGGAGTAAATTCCTGTAGCAAAGGTTGCCCTTTCTTTCGACGCTCACATGGAACATAGCCAAAAACCAGATGCTCCTCAGTCTCTGTCTGTATGTCACCTTCAGATGATGATAGCTTAATGGAGACTTCTTCCGTTCCCTTCTTAGGCAGCTTGGTGGTAGTCTATTAAGCCTCATTTTCCTCTTCTGACTTGACATCAGCTTCGTCATCTGATAATGGTTTCTCCACTCTCGGTTCACAAGAATCTAGGTAGAATTTTGCGTCTGCAAAGTATGACTCCGTCTTAGTGAAAGGCTTGATGTTTGCATCAATTTTGACTATTTCACCATCTCTTCTGTACTTCAGCCAGTGATGCAAAGTAGATGATACCACCCCATTCTCATGAATCCAAGGACGTCCAAGCATCAAGTTGTATGATGTTTTAGCATCTATGACGTGAATCAGGGCGTTTGAATTCATCTCACCAATGGATAATCCTATGCGGATCATACTTATGGCTCGTTGTCCTCCTTGGTTGAAACCTTGGATTGTTAGGTTACTTTTGGATAGCTCATGGATAGAGATCCCAAGGTTTTTTAGCACCATCTTTGGCATGATGTTGACAGCCGAACCATCATCAACAAGTATGCGATTGAGATGTTGTTCCCGAATGGGCCCTACAACAAACAAAGCTCTGTTATGTGGCTTAGACCCCAGTAGCAAGTCATCATCTGTGAATGAAATTGTTGCACAACATGTGACAACTTTTCCGTTATCATGATGTTCTTGTGTTTTCATTGGATCAGGCTCATCGTTGCTTTCCGTTGTTTTGTCAGTATTAGAAACTACATGAGTTGCACCAACGTGACCTCCATGAAGGAATTTTCCAGGAAAGAATTCATGCAATGTGATGGGCTTTCGAAACTTCGGCGATAAGGCACTATTAATCTTCTTGCTAGTAGAAGATTTGATATTTCTTGATGATTGTAGCCTATTTGCATTTCTCATCATCGCTCTTGAATTAGGAATTCGTAGCCTCAAAACTGCCTAATGTTTTCGCTTCTTGTGAGTGACTAGAATCAAACCCTCATCATCTTTGTCTTTGGAGTGATCGTCTAGCTCTAGTGAACCTTCAAGAGTTTTCTTTGGAAGATCAACTTCAACGGGCTCGAAACTTCCAAATTGTAAGAAGGCAGTGCTTGACACGTTATGCAACTTTGAACACTTCTTTTCCTTGAGCGCGATACTCGCATGATTTGCTTATGCTATTTCATCCATGTCTATGATGATTTTTCCTTCACTTACAAGAGCCATGATTTTCTCCTTCAAGACAAAGCATTTCTCTGTAGGGTAGCTGATGACGCGATAAAACTTGCAGTATTTCAGATCGCCAACTTTGCCAATTTCCTCTGGCCTTTTTGATTCAGGGAGATCGATGACTTTCTTGTCTAGCAGTTCATCAAGGATTGTGGGTACGTCTGAATCTGGAAATATATAAACATTCGCCTCTAATTCCCTCAAGGTGGGACGACGCTTCTCCTCTTTGGGATATTGACTCGGGGTCTTATCCTCCTTCACTTTTTGCTTAGTAGTGACCTTCAAAGAAGTTGCTTTCAGTGCCATTGATTCTTTGGTTTGGTTCTTTGATGCAACATTTTTCTTGAACTCCTTTTGATCAGCAAATGGAGATGCCTTTCCATGACTTGCGATGCTTAACTCCATGTCGTGCGCTTGTTGCAAGTTCTTCAAAAGTTCGCAGTTTGATCCTTTGTAGGATGTACAAAAGGCCCCAGTGCATTCCTTGAATGCACATCTCCACAGCAGATATTTCTGAAAGGCGATCTTTGCAGTCCAATCTTAACGCCCTCCAACGATTAATGTAATCCACCACAGGCTCGTCCTTCCTTTGCTTGGTGCCTGTCAACTCTATCATGCTTACAGTTCTTCGGGTACTGTAAAAACGATTGAGGAATTCCTTCTCAAGTTGCTCCCAGCTATCAATGGATGGGCTCCAAGTCAATATACTAGTCAAATGCGTTCCCTTTCAGAGAACGAACAAATTGTTTTACCAAAAGGTCACCACGCGTTCCAGCATTGCTACAAGTCTCGACAAAGCGGGCAATATGTTTCCTTGGGTTCCCTTTGCCATCAAATTGATGCAGCTTTGGTGGTTGATAATTGGTTGGCATGGTTAAAAAATCAATCCTCTTAGTATAAGGCTTAGAGTAGACAACGAACTTTGCGATGGTCCGCCATATTAAGCTCTGATGGTATTTGTTATCATGTCTTGGAATTGTTGGACAGATAGCGCCGCAACTGAAGTTGTTTAACTTGCAAATGATTCCTCAATAGCTGTTTTCTGGGAGGTGAAGACAGGTGAACGAGGAGGGACATGGCTTGGCTCTCCAGGTGCATAGGCCTCCAATTTGTTCATGAGTTGAGCGATTTGAAGGTCTTTGTCTTCAACAGATTTCTTCAAGACCTCTATAGTCTGTTCCATCATGGCAAACTTTTCGTCCATGTTAGTTGCGTCAGTCATCAAGGCATTGGCTTTCGCTGAAACTGAAGAATCTACCAAATGCTCAAATCCGCCAAGGTTTGAGGCTGTTTGAGAAAGTTCGTCAAACAGCGAGAATGGGGTGTTGCCCCCAGAGATTGCGGTTGCGAACGTCATAAGAGATATGCTCTTCTTTGCCATCTCCAAGGAGGCGAAGTATTCAGATCCATCTAAGCCACTAGCCTTGAACTTGCTTCGAGTGATTGGGCCAACATGACTGAGCTCAGCGGATACGGCAACAGTAGCATCTTTGCATGAAACATCACACTTGCAGAAGGCCATTGTAGCAGTAGATCTGAAGTTTGTAATTTTCAACTTGCAAGAAGGAGAGATGAAGGGCAAAATTGGTCCCACTGGGCGTGCCAAAATTTATTTGCAACAAATTTTCGTAGTACGAAAAATAAACTGCAACAAAAATAATATGAAGAAAAAGAGATTTTATTGATAAATATTTGTGAGTACAATTCTATGTGTCCCTTGATTCTCCTTTCTAAAATTCTCCGTGATTCGAGGGCTTGAGAAGCGTCCTTCTCGAATGTAGGATGATGCAGACCTCCTTGTGATGTATTTAATCTCCAAGAACGTCGAGCAGCACTTTGTTGTTACAGGTTGATCTCCGGGAAGAACTCCGTTGATCACTCCTTTGTTGAAGAACTAAGCACTTAATGATTGATCTCTCTGTTTGTGGATGCCTTCACCAATTGCGGAGTGTTCTTCTCCAACTCTGAATGTCCTCTGAGAATTATGTAACCCCTCTATTTATAGTTGTAGGGGATGGACTGTCCAGCTACATATGAACTCTCTTGTTTGATTCTGATTGGCCCATGTCATTTTTGCCATTTGGCGACCTGTGGTTGGTTCTTACTTTTTGACTTGGACTGCCACATCATTTAACACGTGGCATCATCTTG